GCCATTCTCCTGCCTCAGCCTCCCCAGTAGCTGGGACTACAGGCGCCCGCCACCACGCCCGGCTAATTTTTTGTATTTTTAGTAGAGACGGGATTTCACCGTGTTAGCCAGGATGGTTTCGATCTCCTGACCTCGTGATCCGCCCGCCTCGGCCTTCCAAAACGCTGAGATTACAGGGGCAGGCCTTGTGTATTATTTTAAAAAGCCTTTTAACATAAGCCTTTAACATTTTTTAGGTGAGTACACTAAGACGAACATGAATGTCAGAATTGACAAATCGAGGCCAACAGGACTCCAGATCGAGCACTTGTACTTTACTGCCCCAATAAAAAAGTGTTACATTTTAGCTTTTTTATGTATTTTTTTGAGAGAGGGTTTGGCTTTGTCGCCCAGGCTGGAGTACACTAGCTCAATCACAACTCACTGCAGCCTCTGCCTCCCGAGCCCAACCGATCCTCCCACCTCAGCCTCCCAAGTAGTAGGGACCACAGATGCGCACCACCACACTTAGCTAATTTTATTTTTATAGAGATGAGGTCTTGCTATGTTGCCCAACCTGGTCTTTAACACTTGGCCTCAAGCAATTCTGCCACCTTGGCCTCCCACAGTGCTGGGATTACAGGTGTGAGCTACTGTGCCTAACCACATTTTAGCTTTTTATTACAAAAATTTTCAGCCGGGTGTAGTGACTCACACTTGGGAGGCTGAGGCGGGTGGATCATGAGGTCAGAAGTTCAAGACCAGCCTGGCCAAGATGGTGAAACCCCCGTCTCTACTAAAAATACAAAAATTAGCCTGGTGTGGTGGCGAGCGCCTGTAATCCCAGCTGCTCGGGAGGCTGAGGCAGAGAATTGCTTTGAACCTGGGAGGTGGAGGTTGCAGTGAGCTGAGATCACGCCACTGCACTCCAGTCTGGGCAACAGAGCAAGACTCTGTCTCAAAAAAAAAAAAAGAAAGAAAAGAAAAGAAAAGAAAGAAAATCTTATCACCAAAAATCAGGCTCATCTCTCAGGCTAAGGAGCCTAGATGAGGAAAAAAAGCTAAAGGTGTCTTCCAGAACTACTGAGGTGTCTCACCTGGGCCCCCACAATAAAGGTCCGAGTTTGAGAGTCCAGCGTCTTCACCAGCACCTCCAAGCTGTCAGGCTCCTCCACAGAGGTACTGGTACTATCATTAGGCTCCATGGCCGACAGGTCTCTAAAGAAGAACGAAGGAAGGGAGGCCCGCTGTTGCCCAGCAGAGTGTACCCGGAAGACTCCCTAGCGTTAATCCCTGCCCCAATACCTAAAAAGTTTCTCCTACACAAACACACACATTCACACCTGTCCCCATCCCCCCTCTGATTCTGGGGCGCAGGGAGAGAAACACAAAAAGGCAGGAGATCGACGGCATAGGGAGCTGGAGGACGAGAGGTGGGAGGGGCTCCATGATGCCAATCACAATAAGCGTGGAGCCAGTCAGATTAGGAAGGAAGCACGAGACCAGCGACTAGTGTCATCACCGGTCACGGCAGGACAAGCACCCCAGAGGTCGGAAAATCCTGGAACTACGCGAAAGCGGTGGTCGCGCCACACTCTGCGGGGAAAGTGGTTTCGCGCACGCGCGCCACGCCCATCGAACCCTCCTAACTCTCTAGACCCGAAACGGCACTCACGGGGCCACAGACCTGCTAGCTGACTGCCCGCGTCTCCTGCCTTCCCACGGTGTTCCAGCAGAACAGCACAACTAACCCACAGCCAAATACAAACACACAAACACACACACACCCCCACTACCCCGCGGCTCCGCCCCCGACTTCCCCACGGACCGTCACTTCCGGTCTCCCCCAAACCTGCCACCGACGGCCACTTCCGTTTCCCCGATAGTATTTGGGGATCTCGAGGCGATACTTCCGGCTCCCCCCAGGTCCCCAAGCTTTACTTTTGTGGGGCACGACGAGAAAGTCCGCAGCCCCAAACAGTGAGTTTCTGAGGGCGAGTCGGGCCGGGGCCGGCCTAGGTGGGAGGGAGCCGAGCACCCAGAGGAGCCGCCGCCGCCGTCGCCCGGGGGACCGTACTACGCCTGCGTGTGTCGCACTACGCATGCGTAGACACTTAAGCATCCCCTCCCCCACAACCCCCTCGGCGGCGTTCACGTCTGTGCGCGCGCTTGAGCGCTAGAAGATTGAGGTGGCTGCCGTAAATGCCTGAAAAACAATCACCAACTGGGACTCTACCACTGCTTTGAGAGGGGCTATGGACGGTCGTATGGACCTTGGACTTTGGAGATGGGGGATTATGCCACATTAATCTATGTTTAAATCTTGGCAGGCTGAGAATTTCAGGCGGCACTGTCCTAGCTAGCTAAAACTCTTCTCCACCTTTTCGCCCTCGCTGCGCCCTTTCTTCTGTGCCTCCGGAAGTTACTCTTACAGTAGGCGTTTGGGGGCGGCACGGGGCGATTTTGTTCTTGGTTGTTTGGTTGGGCTAGATTTCAGTTCCGCCGGGTGGGCGTTTTGCGGGCTGTGGGCGTCACATTCGTCACCGGCGGTGTGTGGCCAAGGGGACATGACACGTTTTAGGAAAACTAAGCGTGCTACTACATTGCAGGATTTTTGTCAAGAAAAGAGGCGCCTCCGAGTTTGAGAATTGGGAGCAGATGGAGTTGGAGTGGACAGAAAGACAAGACCCTGATCGTGGAGAATTTAAAGGCCGGCCAGCGTGCTTCCGAAGGCCGGGGGTGGAGGCATTACCGCCTCTCCGTGCCCTCTTAACCTGCCCTGGGACAAGGGCCTCGACCCTGCGAAACTTCGAGTCCTCCCGAAAGACACATCGCTGCTGGGGTGCCCATCCTTTCTGGGATTCGTAGTTTATACCCAGGTCCTGGTTATGTTTTAGTTAAGAGTTCTAATAAGCATCTGTTTAATGAGCACTTGTGCCAGCCGATATACTACGGGTTTTGTGGGGGGGGGGGGGGGGTTTTTGTTTTTTTTGAGACGGAGTCTCGCTCTGTCGCCCAGGCTGGATGCAGTGGCGCGATCTCGGCAACCTCCGCCTCCCGGGTTCA